GTTCTGCAGTGTAAGGAACCAAGGCTCTGAGGGGAAACGGAGGTAGAAAAAAATAAGATGAACCTGGAACACCACATACTAGAAAGTAAGGAATTGCTCAGTAGGTGGGAACATGTCAAGAGGGTACAAGTACCAGTTTGAAGAAGCTCTCATCACATAAATATGAATCCAATTATGTCTAGGGGACCAGCGATGGTAGCAACAAGTTATAATCCACAGAATAATTAAAACCTGAGAGTCCATAACTATAAAATAAAAATAAAAGATTAAATATAGGTAGAAGAGATGGCTTCCTTTAACAAATGCCAATTATTAAGACAAACAGTGGAATTAAAATTACCATTTGGTAACTACTATATTAAAAATTACTTTAGACAAGAATCATAAATAAATGCTAAAAACTAGTAGGTAAAATCTGTATGAGAAACAGCACATTTATATAATCCCAAGTATCTTCTCACCAAACTTTTGCAGATAACAAAGGGAAAAATGGTAATTTTAAAGTGAAGGAACCTGGCAAGTACTACTTTAACCCAGTAATGGAGCAAATATGTTATTGTGCGAACCTCATAAGATGCAGTCAGGAGGACACAACATCACTTTTGTGATATTCCTGCCAAAAAATATAACATCCAGGCTGGCACTGTGGTGCAGTGGGCAAAGCAGCTGCCTGCAGTGCTGGCATCCCATATGGGCACTGGTTTGAGTCCTGGATGCTCCACTTCCAATCCAGCTTTCAATTATGGCCTGGGAAAGCAGTAGAAGATGGCCCAAGTCCTTGGGCCCCTGCACCCACGTGGGAGACCCGGAAGAATTTCCTGGCCCCTGCCTTCGGATTGGCGCAGCTCTGACCGTTGCGGCCATCTGGGCAGTGAACCAGAGGATGGAAGACCTCTAATCTCTCTGCCCTGTCTCTCTGTAACTCTGCCTTTCAAAATAAATAAATAAATTTTTAAAAAAGGTATCATCCAAGTACAATCATGAGCAAACATCAGATAAGCCTAAACTGAGGTACACTATACAAACTAAGTGGACTATACGCTTAAAAAATGTCTAAGTAATGAAAACCAAAACATAGCAAGACTACACACTATTTCAGATAAAAGGAGATACAATAACCAAGTATGACAAGCAATCCTGACTGGATTCTGAACTTCACCCCCTAGAAAGGACATTAGTGAAAAACGCAAAATCTGGAATTTGAGTAAGGTGTACAGGCTAGATTACAGTGCTGAATCATTATTAATATCTTGATTTTGATAATCTCTAATGTAGTTATGCATCAGAGCATCTTTGCTCATAGAAAACATACTATTAATATTTAGGGATAAAGATACAAGGGCTGGCACTGTGGCATAGCGGGTAAAGCCACTGACTGCAGTGCCAGCATCCCATATGGGTGCCAGTTAGAGTCCCAGCTGCTCTATTCTGATCAAGCTCTCTGCTATAGTCTGGGAAGGCAGTGGAAGATGGCCCAAGTCTTCGGGCCCTTGCACCCACATGGGAGACCTAGAAGAAGCTCCTGACTCTTGGCTTCAGACTGGCATAGCTCTAGCCACTGCAGCCATTTGGGGAGTGAATCAGTAGATGGAAGACCTCTCTTTCTCTCTGCCTCTGCCTGTCTGTAACTCTTGCTTTCAAATAAATAAATAAATCTTAAAAAAAAAAAAAAAGATACACACATTGTCCACTTAGTCTCAAATGACTGAGAAAAAAAATGATCAAAGAATAATAAAGCAGAAAGCATATCATACGCAATAACATATTAACTTGTGGATAGTCTGCATAAAGAACTTGTGGGAATTCTTGGCATTATTTTTTGAAGCTTTTCTCTAAGATTGAAATTATTTTGAAATTAATGAAAAAATAGTGAGATGGATAAAGCATTGCTGGGTAGCTTTGGCAACAGGAGCAGGTTGGGGCTTGGGAGGGGAACACTCTGGCATACGGTGCAGTCCCCTGGCAGCCTGTCAGTGCCCTGGGAGGAAGAACAGCTAACTGCCTTGCCTGAGGGAGTTGCTGAAGCAGGAATTGCTAAAGTTTTATTATAAGGGGCCTTCTTTGAGGTTTTTCAGATGTCTGCTGGGGACAGAGAGTAGGATGAGTAGAATGTGTGTGTGTGTGTGTGTACAAAGGTGGGAGGATTTCAACATTTTCTGATAAAGACAAGGAGTCTGGGAATCCAGGAAAAAGGAATGTGTTGTCAACTTTGGCTTATGACAGTCATTGCCTCCCCCACCTACTTGTTTGGTGCAGCTTTACAAAACCCAAGAAATGGTTTAACAGCAAGCCAGGTGTTGATGCTCTTTAGTCATTGTGGCCAAGTTCTGCAAATGATTCCTGAACAAACTGTCCCAGGAAGCCAGAGACAAACACCTCGTGGGTGATCCCTAGTGAACAATGTCCAAACTGCTGCAAAGTACTGCATGACAGTGCTCCCTGCTGCTGTCTCATTTCAACTCGCTAAAACAGTTATTATCATAGACAAAAATCAAGATTTTCTTGATTTACAAGTTTATTTGACTAACTGAATATTAACCCACCGACCAAATGACCCCAGGTTCAGGCACAAATAGAAATAAAATAAATCTAATTATGGAAAGATCCCTTAAAATATCAGAGCAGATTTTGGAAACCCTACAACCCTAGTTGTGTTTCTTGTTCTGAGCTCTGAATTATGAGGCCAAACATGTTTATGAGAGATTTTGGAATTCATCCCTCCACTCAGAAAAACACTAGATCCAAATGGTTCTGGAAAGATATTTACCCACCATTATTTTAAGTAACTCCTAAGAGGGAGATGCCATTAATTTTTTTTTTTTTGGCCATCCTCTTTCGACTTTACTCAAATCTTTCAGCACAGTCCTTCAGCCACTTCAGTGTAGGGTCAACGCCAAGAGTATAGGAAAGGAAATCTGAAACCACATCCTCAGCACCACGTTGCCTCATTCTACCCTGAAGGGTGGCCTTCCTCCTGTTGGTCCAAACCCATCCAGAAAAGAGTCTATCGTGTTTAAAGTTCATGTGTGAAAATACATGGTAGACAGTTTTCACTAAAATAGTTAAAGTATGGATGCAGCATTTGAAGAGAATGTCTTTGTTACCTGGATTTTCTCTTATTTGGAAGCCCTTAGTGCCGGATCATGCTGTACCGATATGTGACTATTCACAGCCAGAATTTTACTGGTAATTACCAGTCTCTTTTTAATTTTAGTTAGAAAATTATCATGGGCAGCAATCACATCACTTTGGAGATTCAATTCATATTAAAAAAAAATCTAATGCAGATTTCTGGGAGAACTGTCACACTGGGAACAAAGAAGAAGGTATACAAGTTTATGGTAGGTTGGAGTATGACACTTAACTGATAATGACTACAAAAGGATAGAGTCTAAGTGTGATACCAGAGATTAGGGAGCCCAGAAGGGGATGAGATAAAATTCCAGGATGCAGAATCACAAACAAGAGGTTTGACCAGGCTGCTAACAACGACTAGGATTTTGAACAGAGAAGCAGGCAAAGGAAGGAGAGGTCATTTCAAGGAAGGGAATGCATTATCAAAGAATGAAGGTCAAGTAGCATATTTAGAATACAAGAGGAAAAGAAGATTAGTAGATGAGGAAGCCTGAAAGACAGGCTGGAACTAGTACTGGAAGATCTGGACTACTTAGTCAAGAAGCGAGCCTTATTCTATAGGCATACAGATAGAATCACAAGTTCAAAGTGAAAATAACAGTTACGCATACCACAGATTATCTTATTTATGAACAACTTAATGAATGGTGGCCACAAAAAACACCAGCCTAAGACAACTAGTTTTGCCCTCAGAGTTGATTACAGCTAGGACTCGCTAAATAAAAATGATGAACTCCTGGTAAGGTAGCCTTCCTTGGAATATCTAGGTCAGGAAAGAATAGGTAAGACTAGTGTAATGATTTATTAACAACTGGAAATGTTACCTAAAAATAATTTTAAGAACTTTAAAAAGAATCATAACTTTCAATGCAAACAAATTACATGAATAACTGCTATACTGGTTATTTTATATTCAGATGTAAGTATTTTAATACCTACTAATAAAGATTTATATTCAACATATTTTATCACCATTTTCTGTGAGCAAAGTTACACTGTGGTTTCTGCATTTGATGTACCTTCTGAATAATTAGACAAGCTACAGTCTGGTAATCAAAAAGCATGGTGTTTCTTGTGACAAATTTTTACATGACTAGACATGATTATTATTATGAGAAATCTGGCCTTCATGTTAACAGTCTTCTAAATCATTTCTTAAAATACAGTGTTAAAACTCCATGTATATATCCAATATAATATAAATGAGAAGAAAAAAATACCATTCTTTAAAATAGATTATCCTATACACACTGTTAACATATTATCCCAGTTTTAATTGAGGAGGCTCAGAATACAAGTGTATATAAAACAAGTATTTCTTGGAAAACCTCTAGATACAAACACTAATAATTTCCATACCAGGCAAGAGAATTTAACAAAACAAGATAAGACTTATTTCTACTAGTGAGGCACAGGAAAGGCTCACTAAAAGAATTGTTTTTGAAATGGATATAGCCCTTCCCTGTTCCATACTGTACAAGATAATAGGTAAAATTTTAGAAAGCTGAAAATCCTTTTAAATAACACTTCCTTTAGCTTTAATCGCGAATAATTGCCTCTTTTTGTGCTAATGAGCATGAGCAACAGAGAATGGAATGTAATTCTGCCAGTTCATTCAGGGTAATGGCTTTGCGAGCTACTGAGACTTCTCAGATCCCCAGTCTCAATTTCCTAGAGTACAATAACTGAGCAGCAGTAAATTTTTCACTTGAGGAAGATTTTGTAATCTATGTAAATATAAATAGAAAACCCATTATCTATTGATAAAACAACAAAGTAGGTTAAATAAAGTTTTATGTGTTACTGCTTCCTGTAACAGCCATCGGCTCCCTGGATCATGAAAGTAAATAAAGCGCTTCACTTACTGAAATCAATGAGAAACCGTCCAAATCCTTGCCTTTGGTGCTGGGGCATGATCATTATGCAGGAGACATTATACTTCTGCTGGCAAAGCTTTTCCTGAGGGAAGGAGAAACAGATCAAGTATGTCAGAGCTCTGCTGAAGTGGGCAATTCCCCGCACCTGCCACTGTCCTTGTAACAAAACAGTCCACTAAGGTGAGCCAATGGGTTAGGTTAGGATCAAGCAAAATAACCCTACTGTGTTAACCAAACTAGCAACTAACAACAAACCATCCATTCCAGAAATGCCTCTCAATATGTCTTTATTCCTAAGTCAGTACTGTAAAATATGAAGAACCCAATGAAACACAAACAAAAGGAAAGAAAATAAAGGCAGTGAGAAAGAAATGCTTTCCTTGTTCAAACAATGTGGGAGATTGAGAAAATAACATCCAGAGAGTTACCCCGTGTTGTAAGTAAGGGTTTATCGGACTAACTTTGCTAAACAATAATTTACAACTCTGCAGCAGCCATCTGGATTCTGCCTTTGAGCCAATGCCCCAGTGAAACTAAAATAGTACACACATGGGTACCTGTGCACAAATAGGGTTCTGCTGCAGTGAAAGGTAGAGAACTAACCTGCATTTCAAACTAGGAAAACAAAACAAACAAAAAATTTGACAACAAGAAGAAAACTCAAAGGCTCCAAACAAAAGTGAGACCTAAATATTATCAACAGTCTGAAACCAAGAGGAAGACAGGGTAAAGTACACTATGCAAGAGTTCTGATAGTTAAAGAAGAATTTGCAGTTTTCATGGGATATGGCATCAGAGCAGCAATATTTTATTCAGAGTACAAAGAAGCTGCCAAAACCTACACAAAAAAGATCTGGAAAAGGCTTTTGAGGTAGTGAAGACTCTAGCCAAATATAAACCACAAATGAGATTGACCACAAATGGTACCAACCACATCAAAGAATTACTTTAGAACACCCAGATCTTTAATGAACCTATTTGAAAGATCACAGGAAATGGTTGTGGAAAAAACCCTACAGGGCAGAATTAAAGATTTCTTTGTGAAAAAGATGAGTTCTCAACTTTTGCACATTTGTAGTTGTCTGTGAAGCCTCTACAAAATGAGGAAGAAGCAATAATGGGTGTGAGCTTTCCTAAGATGGTGTTGTCCATCACTAAAGTTCATGCAGGTGGCAAAGGTTCAAAATGGTCTACTTTGCAAAATTAAGACAAATGAGTCACTCCATCTAAAAAGAGATGTACTCTGGGTTAAAAGGATTTATCCTAGATGCCATTCCTTTCTTTGTCAAGAACTATTCCCACCTTCAGGAGTTTTTCTGAGACCCAAAACTGCTGATTCCCCACCACCCCACTTAACACATGTTACTGTGGCTAAATTCTAAACTATGGTTGAAGTAAGTGCTTCTTCTATCCTTCCTGTTTAGAAACTCACATGCATGTAATGGTCTGCATGAAACCCTCCAAGAGCACCCTGGCCATCCTCTGGCTATTCTTGAATGACCTTTCTAATCACTCCCAGGATTTGGTTTACTATAACCCCACAGGACCAAAGATGTCCACATTCCATTTAAAACATCAGAATAGGGCTTAATTTGCATTTGGTCTTTTAAAATGACTAATTTTTTTGTTTTGCTATATTGCCAAAGAAAATAAGAGTTGCAGAACACTAAGAAATGACACTAGGTGCTGGCATATTACAGAAGAAACTCCGACGAAATGAGAAAAGCTGAATTGTTTTCAGTAAAATGTTGGCAACCTGGGAGGAAGAGACGTGGAGCTTAAAACTTCAGAAGTCACCATCACCTGTACATATATATGGCTACTTCTCAAAAGGCCAAAGATGCAGGAATAGGACAGGCACAACACAAGGTAGTCAGGCACCATTAAGCCCTACATTTAAACTCATGTATATGTAAAAGAAACACGATTTTTTAACAGAAAAGGCAGTTATGCCCACTAACTTTTAAATCTATATCTATCTATCTATCTATATATATATATATATAAATTAACTTACTTCATTTTCACTGTAAAGTTTTATTAAATAAGTGGAAGAAAACATTGAGGCATTTTTCCATGACTGGTGTTATTTATTTTTGCTTCAGGTCTCTGGGATGATTCTTAAATTTAACAACACTTTGCAAAATACCTATAGTAATTCAGCTATCTTGCAATCCTCAATGAAAATGGTACTTCTATAAAGCATTCCGTTCACAATAAATGACAATAGTTGAATTAAAATTCACTTATCACCTCACATGAAACAATATACCATAAAATACAGGGTTTGGGTTAATTTACCTTCTGCTTTAAAATCTTATAATTACTGTCACTGTTTATATACCATCTATAAATTTAACTATTTCCTTAGTTACCTAAGAAAAAGTAAGGTCATTACCTGGTAAATATTTTCAAACAAAGTTTTCCTTTATTGCATATGAGTATTTTTTTTCTTCACAGCAACCTTTGAGCAGAAGAATGCGACAGAACTGCTACGAACCAGTGAAAAAGACAAACTATATCATCTTATCATGTCAGGATCTTCCCTATGCTAACAACTGCAGAGGTGCATGGGCTTCTAAAGGTTAGGTTGTTTTAGAAGTTAAAACAACAGCACAGAGCCGGCGCCGTGGCTTACTTGGCTAATCCTCCGCCTGTGGTGCCCGCACCCCAGGTTCTAGCCCCGGTTGCTCCTCTTCCAGTCCAGCTCTCTGCAGTGGCCTGGGAGGGCAGCAGAGGGTGGCCCAAGTGCTAGGGTCCCTGCACCCGCAAGGGAGACTGGAAGGAAGCACCCGGCTCCTGGCTTTGGATCGGTGCAGCGCCGCCCATAGTGGCCATTAAGGGAGTGAACCAACGGAAGGAAGACCTTTCTCTCTATCTCTCTCTCACTATCTAACTCTGCCTGGCAAAACAAAACAAAACAAAACAAAACACCAATAGCACAGAGATTAAGAGATGAAAGGATAACAACAGTCAATATATTAGCTTTACTGTGCAACTGCCAATGTTCTAGCTCACTGAGATATTGCTGATACTGGGAAGACACCAAAGAGAAAGAATTATCTACTAAATCCTACATTACACTGAAACCTTCATGTTGACACCACTTGGGAAGAATAGGGAAATAAGATTAAGAAAAATCAAAGAGGCTACGTGGTCGCAAGGCAGCAATCATAGTATTTTGGGGATGCTGGCAGTCAAGAGGTGCTTTACACACTTCCTAGGCACCATGTTTCTGTTTCTGTCTTTTTAAATAAGCTCTGAACATGAACACAAGCTTTTCAGAAACATATGCCACTTATTCAAATTATAGTCATAGAAAAAAACCCTGTTCAAAAAACTGGGCTCTACCAAAAACATTTTGAAAAAGAAAATGAAGGTCATGCTGGCTCTTGTTTTACCTTAGAGAAGTATCCAACCAGATGACAGCCTTTTTCATCATTTTTTGTAAGGACATAAAAAAGGAATGGCTCGACATCATAATACAACGTTTTGTGGTCCAGGAAGAGCTTGGCTAACAAGCAAAGGTTTTGGCAATAAATTTTGCTCATATTCCCATCAACCTAGCAAAAAGAAGCAGACAACATTATTTAACATAAAAATAGCACTCAATAACATTGTTTCTTCTATACAGCATTTCATAAAGTATTTAATTTTATTTCCAAATCCTAAACTGAGAGATTAAAACACTCCATTAAACAAGTACAGAGTTGACCAAAAAAAGCTGCCACCAGGCAAATCAGAATTCCACTTTTCTCTTAAATCAGAGTGAACGAATAAATTTAAGGTAGGTTATAATTCTCTGTAAGCCATGTACAGAAAGAATAATCATTAGCAACAGAATAATTTTTATTTGTAATTTATTACAAGTTAAAAACTAGCTGTTCATCTTTCTGACTGTGTCAAGCTCTTTTGGCAAGCTTGAAGGAAGAGGGTAGTATTGCTGATAATATGTGAATTCTCACTACAGGTTAGGCACGTGGCTTCTCAACCTGGATATTCTCTACTTTTCAAACTGGGTAATTTATTGTAGGGACTGTGCTGTGCATTATTCCAAAAAAGATTATCAGGGATGTCTTCCTTATTGGAATCAAGTATTTCTTGGTTAGAGTTTTGCCTTTGCAAAGAAATCAAAATACCTCTCCAGATAGTTAAGCTTTATTTTGTTTTCTAAGAGAATTCAAATAAAAATAAAATAAATGAGCTGCACTATTCTGATTCCCCTGAAGTGTGGATTAGCAAAAGAGACTTCCATTTTGGCTTTACCCCAAGCATTTTAAATATAACTGGAAAAGATGAAATTTCTGTGTTGCGAATATGTACAGAGAAGAGTGAGATGAGTTTCAGCCTACAATAACTACCATGATGACAATCTACTGCTCTTCAAAATAAAAGTTTTAAGCTGTGATACTGATGGCCATAGACAGGAGGCTAGGAACAGATGCCAATATATTTTATCAAACATCATTACTTGTTGAAAACAGAAAGCACAGCAGATTTAAGAGGAATTTCCCTAGTACTTTCCTTAGAGGAAGCAGATATCTGCTAACCAGAGCTCTTTAACAATGAACTTGACCATTCTCATGTCTCCTGTGGACCATACAGGTTCTCATATTAAAAAATTATTTTTAGACTTTATATAACTATTTCCCTTGGATGAAACCCAGATCCCACACATAGCAACATAATCAAACATGGGTAACAGGCACAGAGGATACAATTCTCTCTTTAATTAAAGCAAATTTTTATGCATTGAGAGTATGATCCTTCTGGAAATGGCAGCACATTACAAAAAGGAAATATATATTCATATTTATATTTATATTTATGCATATATACCAGAAAAATAGAGATGACTATGTGAATTCTGATCAGTTGTGTACGGTCTATATATGAGGGGTATGAAAATGGAACTCTGTAATTATTCTTCATTTTATGACCCCATTAGTAAACTGCTGAGGAAAGTTTTCTACACACTATACTGTGAAGTACTAACTCACATTCTAGAGTAGGGGTCTTGGTACTCATCAAATCCAACTCTTTATTTGTATGAATAAATTATAGAAGTGCTGCTGATAGTTTCCCTCTCATCTGTGCATGGTCTTGCCCGAAATCACATGGCCTGGAAGAGCAGACCATTCTCCTGAGCCTAATAAGCCTGAGGTTTTTTGCCCAGAAGAGCCTCCTTGGATTGATGAGAGCTTCCACCCAACAGGCTTACTCATGCTGACATTTAATAATTACTTAAGGCCAACAATGTGTTTTACCCTTTGGGAAACAATGAAATAGTAATTTCTATTTTATTTTGGTTAGAATAAAGGATCTAAGACATCAAGGAAAGAGCCAATAGCACAGTGAACTTGTGACATTAGTGAAGGCAACTTTGATGTCTCAATGGTGGGAGCTGCTGGGTAACAGCCAAATACTAACAACATGAAGGTCAGGCAATGTGTGCTTGACTTTTCTCTAGCCCAGTGGTTCTCACTGGGGGTGATTTTTGTCCCTGATGGGATATTTGACTATGTATGGAGACACTTTCAGTTGTCAGACCCAGAGAGGATGGCCATGCTACTCATATCTAGCAGACAGAGGTCTGGGATGCAACTCAACATCCAACAACACACAGCACAGTCCTTACAATAAATTACCCAGCTTGAAATGTGAAGGTTGAGAAAGCTACGTGCCTGACCTGTAGTGAGAACTAACATATTATCAACAACACTACTTTCTTCCTTCAAGCTTGCCAAGAGTTTGACACAATCAGAAGGACAAATTTTAGGAAATTCCAAGACAGCTTGATCAGTCCTGGGAGAAACTACTGGGCCCAAACATGTCTGACAGAAGGAGCCTGGTTCATGTCATTCCCTGCCCTTTGCTAAATACGGCAGTAAGACATGGCAGGACAGGAATAAACAGAAAATTGTGGGCAGGACAATAAATTTTGAGCTTGAACAATTCACAAAAAAAGGAATCCCAAAGTGAAACTGAATTTCAGAGAAAGAAGATAGTATGTCTGCTGCACAAAGAAGGCTTATTCTGAGCACCCAGAAATGAAAAACAATGTACCAGGACGGGTAACAGAGAAGAGAACAAAGCTGGGCAGGAGAAGAGTATGAAGAGAATTAAGAAGTTCTGTGAAAGAAAGGTTTGTTCTGAAAGGACAACTGACTCAGCTAAACTGGATCCCTGAAACTGACAAGAGAAACATGATTCAACAATGAAACTTCAGAAAGGCAAAGACCTTCTGCTACTAAATCAACCCTGAAAACTCAAAATGTCTTCAAGAAACTCACAATGACAGACATATGGCCACAGGGGTTCCTGTGAAAACCAGTGTTCTCCAGGGGTGGCAGTCCACCCAAATCAGGGGGAGTCCCAACATCTGGTGGAGTCTCACCAGAAGGATTATCCATCCTGCCAAGAAACGGATGGAAACACAGGTGGTTGTGTATCGAGCAGCCATGTACAGCTGCTCAATTCCCTGGAAGAGTGAGCACCTGCCAGACATTGGCTGGAGCTGCCGAACAAAGCTAATTTCTCCTGCCAAAGAAAGTGGAATTTACAAAGAACTGAGATCATAAATTCACTGGTGAATATATCTGGTGTAGACAGGAATTTGAGGGAAGACAAAAAAGTCCATGTGATGAACCAGGGATTCTTCATCAATCTAAATGGTTGCTTAATATGGTTAGATAAATATCCCAAACATGGAGACATTTTAAAGGGCAGTCTGAATTTCAGTGCCAAAAATTAAATATACTTTGTACCTTCTAGTCACAAATCAGTACACAATCAACAACTAGAAGTATGAGGCTTCAAAACTGGAGTTTTTAATTTATACGCTCTTACCTCAAACACTGAAAGGTCTTTCCTTCGGTAAATTTCATTTGCTGGAGGATGAAACCATCCACACTTCTTTGAATGTCTTAGTAAAATATTCTTGCTTTTCATATATTTAAGACAGAATTCACACAGGTAAAGCTTTGGTAATCTGTTAAGGGTTAAAAATCAAGAATCTATGAGATTCATTATACTGTTCCAGGGGAAAATTAAATATTATTCAATTTTGTCTAAGTCAGAAAAAGGCTACCTAACAATATCTGAAATTGTTTCCCATAAATAAGAAAAAGTCAGTAGTAAAGTGAATATAAAAACAGCTTTACATTTATTTTTTCAACATAATCCATAATACACACTACCTTTACTTTGTGCACAAATCATTTGTTTCCTTAGAAATGTACTATGAAAACCACCCTAAAATATCAACAGCAAGCTATCTTATTAGGTAGCCATGCATATTTCTCAAAATTCAGATTTAATGTGATATTTCCAATAGTATATATGATCACTGGTGTAACTAATAATCTTTTACTTAGAATGAAGTGAATTTATTATTATATTTTAATAGTCAGAATACTTTTGAAGCAAAGAAGTCCCAGAAATTAATTGCTTCCATTTCTACTTTTGGATGAGTAACTTTCATTACCATAGGTTTATATATGGTCTAAAGCAGTATATGTAGCATTTAAAGTCAAATGATCTAATTTGTTCTCTATCAATTCCACTGTCTCTTTGAATAACAAACTAAAAGCTTTCTCTGCCCTCCTGACTTGTTCTCCACCTTAAAAACATGAACAGGCACTGGAGTACTCACAAAATAAAGTTTAGAATCACCAACAAGGTCTTTGGGGGTACAAGTATGGGAAAAACTGTTTTGGGGAAAGATACAATGACACATACGGTATATTTAACTTCAAATCTTGCACTTATGTCCAAATTTCATTTGAAGTTCTCAGAGCAAATGACAAAATTACCCACAAATCAAAGCTAAATGCATTTTATAAAAATTTATTTATATGAAGGTAGAGTGACTGAAAGAGAGGGAGAGAGATCTTCTGTCTGCTAGTTCACTCCCCAAATGGCCAGGTGGAAGCCAGGAGCCAAGAGCTTGGCCCAAATTCCACTGCCTTTCCAGATGCATTAGCAGGAAGCCAGAGTGGAAGTGGATTGGTAGGGACCTGAACTGGCAACATGGATATGAGATGCTGATGCTGCAAGCAGAGCCTTAACCTGCTGCTCTGCAATGCCAGCCTCTCATAGGCATTTTTGAAAAATGGTTTAAGAACACACAGTCAAGTGGAGTAATCAGCAAAGAGAAAACAAGATCATGGACTCAGGTCTGCTACTTAATTTCTGAAACACACGTCTCATTTTCTCAAGTCACATGACTGGTTAATAAGATAATACCTATCCTTGAAGAAAAGTAAATTCGTAATTACCAAAACCCTTGTAGCCTAAAAAATTTGAAGATTCTAATAAAAGGTATAATGATGTACTTAATGGAAGATATCTATCCATAATATATCTGTTTTAGGATATATTAGTTAAAGGCAAGGTCACAGCTAATCTTACTTCAAGACATGAAAATTCTGACACTATTATTTTCTCTTCAATAATTTTTAAAATTTATTTATTTTATTTGAAAGTAAGGGTTACAGAGAGGGAAAGACAGAGTGATCTTCCAGCTGCTGATTCACTCCCCAGATGGCTGCAATGGCCTAGCAGAAGCCCGGAGCCAGGGGCTTCTTCCAGGTCTCCCATGTCGGTAACAGGGGCTTAAGCACTCAGGTCATCTTCCACTGCTTTTCCCAGGCCATTAGCAGGGAGCTAGATGCGGAGTGAAGCAGCTGGGTCTTCAATAGGCTCCCATACAGGACGCCAGCATTTCAAGCACTATGCCACAACACTGCCCCCCACCCCTTTAAAAAATTTTGTTTATATGAAAGGCACAGTTAGAGAGAGAGAAAGGGAGGGACCAAGAGAGAGGTCGGTGATTCACTCCCCAAACGGCCACACTGAGTGGGGCTGGGTCAGGCCACAGCCAGAAGCCAGGGGCTTCTTCTGGGTCTCCCAGAAGCCCCATGGGCCCAAGCACTGAGTCATCTTCTGTTGCCTTACTAGGCACATTAGCAGAGAGTTGGGTCAAAGTGGAACAGCCAGGACTTGAACCAGTGTCCATATGGGATACTAGTATTGCAGGCATATCTTCACCTGCTACGCCACAACACTGGCCTCTTTTATCTTCCATTTTTAACATTAATCACAAATGGCTATAAAAGTAAAGACTTGGGGGCCGGCGTTGTGGTGCCATAGGTTAATCCTCTGCCTGTGCCGCCAGCATCCCATATGGGTACCAGTTCTAGTCCCGGCTGCTCCACTTCCAATCCAGCTCTCTGCTATGGCCTGGGACACAGTAGAAGATGGCCCAAGTCCTTGGGCTCCTGCACCTGCTGGGAGACTGGGAAAAAGCATCTGGCACCTGGCTTCGGATCGGGGCAGCTCCAGCCATTGTGGCCATTTGGGGAGTGAAGCAACAGAAGGAAGACTCTCTGTCTGTAACTCTATCTCTCTAATAAATAAATAAAAATCTTAAAAAAAAAAAAAAACTAACGACTTGAAGAAGAATATCTTAAGACTATCCACCCTCCTAGTTTCTCTAACTTTTCTTCTTTTTCTAAAATTTCTATTAAAAACCTGAAAAATACCAGAATTCAAGAGATAGAATTAACAGGCCTAATTAAGAAAAACAAAACAATGATAGCATTTTTCAATGGCTAACTATTTCCTTCCTGATTTGGCTTACTGCAAAACCTACATCTGCCCAACTGCCCAAAATAAGCAAGCACTGTACCCAGACTGAAATCCAGGCTTCTGGCTTAAGCCTGGCCTAGTCCCAGGTACTGGCAGGCATTTGGGGAATGAACTGCAGGATACTACATGTCTACCTGTCTCTGTCTCTTTATCTTCCAAACAAATTAAAAATAATACAAAAAATATTTTTTAAAAGTATGATCTAGAAGCTAAGAGGCAAAATTTATACAGCACAAATAATTCTACAAAAAAGTGTTGGCAAAGTATTGTTTGGGAAGAACCCAGAAAAAGACTACCAAAATCAACTTCCAAAAATCATCCGATTCCCGCTTTAGAGTGGAAAATTTTCTTTTCTCGCACATTGACATTGAAGTTATATATCTGCTTGGCTTATTCCATTACCTTGCATATTCCTGTGGGTAAGGCGAGGAATACCAGGTTTGGATTTCATATTTGCCAAATTCTATCACAGAAGGGTACCGGCCACAGTCTTCCACTCCACTTTCACATTCTATTTTCTGTCATGGAAAAGGCAAAAGAAAATAACAGGATATAATTCTTACAAGATGATATACTTTATTTACATTCTTGTACTTTCACCAGTGGCTATCAAATCCTATGAAAACCAAAAGAGTAATCTTGATTTCTAATTTTAGACCCATGTGAAATAATGCTTGTGTTGAGATTCATAAACAAACACTCCATGAAATATTATGAATTAGATAGGAAACAGGTATGATATATAAAAATATCTACTGAACTAGATTTAATCTATTACAATGCATTAAAACTGAAAATATAGATGATGCAGCTACTACACAATTACAGTTCCCTGTTTCTCCACTAAATAATATTTATCCCAACCATAATTAAATAATCATTCATGAAATTTCCAGTTCACTATTCCTGTCCTCTACTCCCCTTACTCCTTCCCACCAGAAGAGACCCAAATTCACTGTGGTATCCTCAGTGTCTAGTAATACAAAAGAAATACAAGAAATATTTCTGGCATGAAAAAGTCACTTTTACCATCTTGGAATGAATGGCTTTAAACTTAGCTCTATCTCTTGGGAAATGGCCTCTTGTTCAGCACACAAGTATCAGAAGTAGGCTGAAAAAATGGTAACACTGAGGACTTCACATATTTAATGACTGGACATTTATCTTTTCCAAAGGACAACCATTACAAACCATTCGATACTGACAGACAGAGGCACAGAAATGCTCCCCAGCTTCTAAAGTACAAACTATCACAAGTATTCAGCCTAACTGGTTGCTACTAAAATTAAAGCTTAAGAGCCAAAGACAAACCATTTCCACAAAACAGGAAGTGGGCGAGGAGCGGAATCTACCTGGCAATGCTGGTCAAAGAAAGGGAATGTACTCTCCTGACCCAAAAATTCACACTTCATAACACATTATTCTTTGAGAAGTCCAATGGCTTCACCTTTCAACATTTTAGTGTCAAGACTAATCAGAGTTAACAGTGTAAGTGGTATCATCTAAAGCATCTACTGGACAATGAAACTGCAAGTGACAACAACCAATCCTAAAATACAATAGACAATACAGTATTGCTTTCATCAATGCCAATGAGTTAAAAATAGACATTTTTCATATGGTTGGCCATCTGCGTTGGAAGAAGCATCAGTAAATTTAAAAGCGATGTTCTTTTGGTTAACATTTAAAATTATTTCCCAAATTTAGGGAAATTTAGTATCTTCACCTGCTACGCCACAACACTGGCCTCTTTTCTCTTCCATTTTTAACGCTAATCACAAATGGCTACTAAAAAAAGTAAACACTTGAGGGCCAGCACCGTGGCGCAATAGGTTACTCCTCCACCTGCGTCAGCAGTATCCCATGTGGGTGCCAGTTCTAGACCCAGCTGCTCCACTTCCAATCCAGCTCTCTGCTGTGGCCTGGGAAAGCAGTAGAAGATGGCCCAAGTCAGAATCCATCCTTCATACCTAGAAGTACTTTTCAACATCTGCATCAACCAGTCCTACTCTGCTCTCCTTTTCCTACCTTTAAGAGTGGAGACAATTCTACAGTCATTGCTTCCAAATATACAGATAACAAAAACAGGGCATGGTAAGAGTTAAAGTCTTTGAGGGGGAACTTTCTATAAAAGCAACACAGTTTTCATGTTAAGAGTTGGAAGCCACACATTATTCTGTTACTACAACTTGGTATCCTGGCCTTACCTCCCAAGAAAGTTCCTGGGCCTGCTTAAAAACATCCAAGTCTTCTTCCGTAACGACATCCTTGTTTCCAATCACATTTACATCTGTACTTTCTTGTTTGATGCTTATTTTTATTTCAGTATCTGTCATTTAAAACCAGCAAAAAGTGCATTCACTGTCTTTGAATCATGATAACCATCATATATTACCAAAATGGTACCCAATTAGCATAGCAGGCAAATAGGGATTTTTTGGGGGGTGGGGGGTGGGTGAGGAGGCTTTATAAGCTTTTACATCTAAGCACCGCTCACAGATCCAGCAGTACCCTTTCCCTGCTATACCCAAATTATGTGAATTGATCACTTTCTTCTTTTTATAGGTTTAGTAAATATACAAGGGAAAGAGTAATACAAAACAAAATCATATTTTCAACCGAGATTAGAAGTTATAATAATGTCTAGTTACAAACTTCCCATTATCAGTTTCGAGAAAATAAAATCTACCACTTTTGTCCAAACAACATATTATTGATTTTTGTTTTGTAAAGGGTGGCAAATGTAATGGCCAATTTGTTCAATGAAATGTGTTTCCTCCCTGAGGTGGATACACACACAGACACACTCACAACCAGAAACATTCCACAGAACCACAGATCAGGCTTGATGGATACGGAAGCAGGATGGACTCTGTCGTGAGAAAGCAATGGAGCAGAGGGACAGCAGAGCTGAAACGCCCCCTGCTGGAAGCGCTGACGGCACAGGACCTATCAGCACTGTGGCTGAAGAGGCGGCGCGGGGAAAACAAGGCAGAAGCATGACAGCGGCTACTCATGCGGGACTAAAAAGCCATAAGCAACGCTATGGAGGCATCTGGGGGTCCTAAGTCACTACGAATGGAAATAAATCATAAAAGGGGGAAGGTATTAGTTGGAGAAACAACATTTTGGAGATTTAGTCAGCATTAGAAAAAGGTCAAAGTTCACTACTTCTGTATGACAGTGAAGTGAGAACAAGAGAAATAGCTAAGACCTATGTGACAAATAGGAACTCATTTGTTTGTCTTTGGGGGAGGTTGGGGAGAAAGGGACGGGACGCAGGTTTGGTTGGAGCTTTGACCTTTTGCTTACCATCATCCTGATCAGGGTTAATCCTTCCGTCTGTCAAGCTCCCCTTCCCTGGTGAGGGGGTCCCCATCTGAGGGGTCACTTTACATTTTAATCTGCCTAGCAGCCTGTGCTTTTTAAGGAAGGTTGTTCGCTTGAAGTGAGCAATCGCTTTAAAGATACGTCCTCTCGCCATCCCCCAGCTAGAGGAGGAGTGAGAAATAAACCTACTTCTAATAGCTCTTTTTCCAAAGAAATGGGCTTTAGATTTTGACGTGGAAGAAAGTTCAGTTTTACGACGCATACGTTTGGGTGGTGCGTAACTTGGGTGTCCCTTTATTCGAGACTGTCCCTGAGTGGTATAGATATGGGAAAGTCCATCAAAGAGTGCCTTCAGCTGGCTGTTATTAGTAAGACTGCTAAAGGAGGGCGCACTGGACTGGCTGGAAGAACTCTGGGGAGAGGTAGAAGAAGTGGAAGTGCTGGACTTTTGTGAACTGGGGCTCTGACCAGAGATGGGGGTTGGGGGTGGAAGTGAAGAAGGTGGAGGTTTTAGCTTTTGTGTGGTACCTGTAGCCAACACATGAGAAGTGCATGACTGTTTCTGAGAGACCTTTTTCCTTGGACGATAGTGCTTTGAAAAGTCTATTATTTCACCTCGTGATCTGCGACCATCAGGTGATGGTGTAAAAAACTTAGTAAGGCCATCAATGAGCCCTTTGGTTTTCTTGTTAACTTTAAGTGTAGAGGCAGAAATGGAGGTGGAGGTGGTGGTGATTTTGGTGGTGGCACCAGGCCGAGTGGGGTCTGTAACAGCCAATCTGCTGCGTGAGTCCTTCCCAGATGCAGCATGACCAGATGAAGGTGTGGTACAGACTTTAGTCTTTTGACCCCTACCAGGTGACCCCCTTCCTGTGAATGCATTCATGGATCCTTCATCACTGGTTACAGACCTAGGCAAAAATTTAGAGAATAGTATCAGCAATTAATAATAGAATTATGAAGGTACTGAAAAACAAATTTATAGCAACTAGATGCATTCAATGTTGCTTCAACTTAAGAAATGGAATTGCAACCCTAGAAAACTGATTTTGTATGTGTGCCACCACCTAGAAAATTCTCTGTTGAAAAAGGTAGCAGCAACTGCATTCGCCTGTCATGATTCCCCCATGGACCATCCCACGGGTACAGAAAGAATCCATGTGCACCCACGGACAACAGAAATAAGAAAAATTTTGAAGAGATTAAAATAAGACCCAATGCTTGCATTATAAAATTAAATAAAAATAAGCTATCCTTGCATTGTCACAAATAATTATGATTTATTAAAATATCACTTTTGAAGTATTAGAAGAAATGTTATATGTGTTATCCAGAAGCAAAAGAATAAGCTTAGCTAATCCCTATTTAAAAGCAATCAACCTGAAAATTTTTTATAAGTAGAATTTGATTATGCCTATAAATTTGTCTTTTAAAAAAAGGCAAAAAGATACCCTCTTCCACTCAACAGTTTACATTTAAGATGGTAGGAGAGCAAATAATACTCTCTTAGGAGAGAAGACAACTAGTTACAGCATAAAATATTGCTGGAAAAAGGACAACAATAGCAAAAAACTGAAGAAATGATTAAAGAAAAGCTACAGCGGGTCAGACATGACATGGAAGGTCTGGTGAAGAAGCAGCACATTTACCATGGTCATTATCAGACACTTGGCATCAGAATCTGTACACTCGGGTTCAGCCCATACCACTGTGCAACAGGCACAGGAGGCAGCTCCACTCACACAGCTGCCGATGTGAACAGCAGCTGACTGCCTTCACCCCAGGCCACAGCTTGCGAAGCTACCCAGTTTACAGAACAATTTTATGCAACAGAAACATTTCAATGCGAATTATGTCAATGCTAGGGCTAAAAATGCACTTTTAAGCTTATCAATTTAGTTGATGGCTAATAATGAAGAAATGGAAGCCTGAAAATGGTATGACACTGAATTATAAAAATATCTTCATTAATTATAAACAGGACGCATTTTTATGGTCATCTTGGACATAGAGATTAAGTCAACAAACTTCAGTGGTCAGGCGAAGGGGAGGTTGGTGCAGACTGAGGAAAGCTATTAGGCTCCATTGAGATGGCTCAGCTGCCAGGAATCTTGCCTGGAGCCACTAGTTCAGCCCAATCAGGTCAATGTTGGAAATCTCTGGTGTCACCAGACAACACAAGAAGAGTTACCAACAAACGATTCATCTGGGCTAAACTGTTTGACATCAGACCGAAGCCTGCATTTGGATGGACTCTGGAATCCACTTGCCCAGAAAGGATACTATGCATATAAAGCAGGTGAAAAAGGAAAACTCCCTAGACGGTCTTAAAAATTCCTAAGCTCAAAGGACAGCTCTGGACAAACAAAAAGTTAGGACTGATGCCAGATGCAATTTTCAACTGTGTCCTTTGTTTAAAAAGTTTATATCCTAATTTGGTTTTTAAATTGCACCCTGGGGATACAGTCCCATTTTAAGAACAATTCATACACAGGATAAATGTAAAAACACAGAATTTCTACTTCAAATGATACTAATATGGAAGATTTTATTAATAAATGTTTCGTGTTTGCCTCTAGAAACTAACCCATAAAATCCATTTAGAAAATATCTACTGATTAAAGAGTTTTCATCAAGCTTCATTGAAAACTCTAGATTCCGTGATTTCTATCTCTCCTTTGTGAGATAAAGGCTCTGGAAGGTACTGTTTTTCTGGGAACAAGTAAGACAGTGAAATGCTTCAGACAAAAATTAGGGCAAAACAGTCAGCAAGTTGAGTATGATCCTTGGTGTTTGTTCAAGGTGTGTGCAGAACACCTATTCATTTCTAAGTCACAATGGCCCTTTCACTAAGCTGAAAAAGAAGGTAACAATCTATTGATAGAAACTACCAATTTCATTTGTAAACACCTTACTGAATGCTGATAGCCAAATATATCCTCCACACAGGTTAAAAATACATTCGTTTCATTTCTTATCATTTCTCTAACTTCCTACATTTCTCTACTTCTCTACTGATTCCTGTTAAACGTTTTATTGAGCTTTAACAGCAATCAGACGGTAACAGGACAGGGAGAAGAGGGTTATCACAGCAGAGCTAAAGGTCACTGTAAATATATGTTTTATATGTACGTTAGCACATGTGTGCACTTGACAAAAGGTCCTGTCTAACCCTTTGGGATCAAACAGTCATTTGCAGTTTTCTCAAGTGCTTCTATTTAATAAAAGAATCCTAAAAACTGGTAATACTAAATTAACATCAGCAGAGAGAGGTATTTTTCTACAATGTTATCTAGAGGGCCAAAAGAGATTCATTACAGACATGGACAAATCCTGCTCTTGTTTTAAAATTCCTATGAAAATATTTATATAATTAAGCTCTTCCAATGCTCAGCCAGTTAAAAAGTAGGCAGAATGTTTCCAATTCCTATATTCTGCTTCTATCCTGCTGCTTGAAAAATGTCACTTAGTATCACAGTTACTGCCAACAGAAGACCCCAAAATGCCAATTATAATTACAAATGTTATTTTCAAAAATTTATTTCTATAGCTTATGCAAAAGAAGAAATATTCTTCATTCCTTGAGTTGGAAAAAATGATGCCAGAAAAGTCTAATGGAACTAAGGGGGTTACAATCACCTATATTTTAAAGCACAACATAAAAGATTTCTTTTGATAAGATCTCAACCTACAACAATCGTTGCTTTAATTTATTTTTCGGTCGTCCAATGGGTTTTGCATATCGTCGTTTTATTTGTGCAGCTTTCTCATGAAGTAGTTTTCTTCCCTTTTTCTTTGGTCTGCAGACTTGGCAAATCCACATCCCTGAATTAATATATATATGAGAAAAAATATTTTAATGTTTCATTTTAGGAGAAGATATTAAATATAAACTGCAGCTATAATAAGCTGCCAAAGGATGCCTGTATACAGAACGTTACTCCAGAAAGTGGGTCATTCCCATCTGTCATTCTGCTCAGGAAGCTATTACTAAAGGTCAGTTTCCCGGGGGTCAAGGTGGTGAGAGCAGAGGTTGCCCCTATCTCGGAATCCTTCCATAAAGCTGTTCCAAACATGTCACTAAGCCTCCCACCACCATATAAACTCTACACGTGACAGTGTGCTCGTGTCAGATACCATATATCTTTCACTTTGAGGCAGACATTTTCAAGCCAATCCATTTTAGGAACTACTAGAAAAGAATATATTTGCCTTATTAGCTCTTTCTGGAAATTTTTAATACCAAAAACAAATATCGCTTTAAAACTTCAAAAAATTTTATGTTCTGTGTAGCTACAATAATTAAAACTATATATCTGGCATAGTGGAATAGATCAATCAGTAAAAACTCTAAGACCAGAACAACTGAAGCCTATGGAAAAGTTTAGCATATCCAAATGGTCATATTTGAAGTCAGTGGGGAAAGGATGAAGTGAGTCCACAAGAGGTGACAGAACAAACAGTTCTCTATCTGGACAGAAAAGGATTACTTCCTATCATTCACACACAAAAAATTATAATAAAAGAAAATAAAATGTTACGAGTACTAGGAAAAAGAGAGTGGCCATTAATATAATGTAAGCATGACTGACATTTAAAACAAGTCATAAATAAAAAGATTCATGAATTTGACTACATAAAAAATTAAAGAGCTCTTCAAATCTGGAGTAAAAAGTTAAAACTCCAATAGAAAAATGATTAATGGATAAAAACATATACTTCACAAAAGATGATATACAAGCAACTAAATCAAACACAAAACATGTTCAATCTTACTAATTAAAAAATTCAGGAGGGCCCAGTGCCGTGGTGCAATGAGAAAAACCACTGCCTGCAGTGCCGGCATCCCATATGGGTACCGGTTTAGTCTTGGTTGCTCTGCTTCCAAACCAGCTCTCTACTATGTATGGCCTGGGAAAGCAGCAGAGGACAGCCCAACTCCTTGGGCCCCTGCAACCACATGGGAGACCTGGAAGAAGCTCCTGGCTCCTGGCTTCGGATCGGCACAGCTCTGGCCCTTGCAGCCATTTGGAGAGTAAACCAGTGGATGGAAGATCCTTTCTCTCTCTCTCTCTCTCTCTCTCTCTCTCTCTCCCTCCCTCTGTAACTCTGCCTTTCAAATAAATAAACAAATCTTTATTAAAAATTTAGCAGGTATTGTTATCAAATAGATAAAAATTTTTAAAATAACACTATTTCACAATATGTAAGACACAATATTTTACAACATGTCTCTGATTTTTAAAGATGTTAAAACGTATTACAACTGTGTCACAGACTCAGTCAAATATAATACTCCATGGTCAGTGTTGGCCAATATTCAGGGATACAGATATTGTCAGATACTGGTGGTCTGTCTGAAAACTGGTAAAGCCTTTCATGTGTATAGTCTTTGATCCAGAAATTCCTGCTCTAGGAGTTTATCTTAAGGAAATAATTGTGGATGCAAAAAACTGGAAACATTTTCAATGTCCACCATAGAGCACAGGTTAAAGAAATTATGGTTTGTTAATACATAAGTTTGCAAAACCAAGTAACTTCAGAAAGCACCTAGATTGTATAAAATGTGTGACCATGAGACTGCAGGCAGTGGTGATTCAGTGGTAAACTGGAGCATGTATGTTAAAATGAGGCCTAGAGAACTCAAAATCAAAATTTTAAAAATATGGTCTCAACAAAGCCCATCTGTGCCCCCTAGTTTATCCAAGTTTGTGACCCTTGCTTTATACTATGGATTTTTACACACTCAATAGAAAGTGCTCAAGAAAACATTTAATGATGTAGGAATGTTTACAATCTATTATTAAGAGGGTGGAAAATAGGTCTACAAAAGCATGAACATAATGTTCCGTTTGTTTTTAAAGGGTGTAATGGCGACAAGGAATGAATTTCTAGTTATATTTTTTAAATTCCTTTTCTCCCTATCTGTATTTTATAAATCTTCCACCATATGAATATATGAATTTTACAATAAAAGTGCAAGGTTATTTTAAAGCGTTTAATATGTTGCAAAATGGGGAAGGAGGGAGGGAGGCTGAGAGCTAGGCGTACTTCCCACAATGAACAAAGAAAACCCATAGTCCATCAGATACAATCACCTATGAAACAGTTCATGTGCAAAATGTGACCTCATGGTCCCCCCCACCCCCGTTTTGAAAATGGTGATTGCTTCACGTCATAGGACTTTGGAGCCATCATTACCAACATTATTGAAAATATCAATTTTCATACCTCTCAACCATATACTGGGTAATATGGGGAGTGCTCTAAACTGTTCACATGCATTTTCCAAATGTAATCCTAATGGGGATTGGTGTGGGGAAAGGACAATCTTTCTCACTCTTGCATCTGAATTAGAGTTTCCATATAATATACATATATAAAATCCCCCAAATAAATACTTTTATATGTTTCTGTTCACAACCTATTTCCAATATGCAAATTATAGGGAAGGCAAGAGAAATTTTTAAGGAACCTGCATACTTCCAGACATCAAGACAAGGTTAACGAGTATGTAACAAAACATACTTTTCATATGGTTTAAAAGTTCACCTTTTGGCATTCTGGAAAGTGGTGGGTCACAGCACTCCATATGGAATCCTCTATCACAGGAGTCACAAAAAAGCATATTATCCTGTAATACAACATATAAGAGACTAACTGACATTGAAACCTATGTAAAAGACCAAAAATTCTTACACTACTAAATTAACAACAATAAAACATGAGGGGCATTCAAAAAAACTCATGGAAAATGTGTATTATGAGGAATTACGCATGAATTTCCATATTTTTACACCAAAATGTACTTATCTTTCAATTCTACTTTTCCATGAATTTTTTAAGTTTCCCTGTTTAACAAAAGAACAAGATTCAGCCTGTGATTTGACATTATATGTTTTTAAAAACAAACAAAATAGCAACATCCTATAAAAAGGAAAAAGTTAACATTGAACATTAATAATTTACTGGGAAATGGAATATCGAGAGCCATACTTACTGCATTTTTGCCTTGGATTCTACATGCACTGCATGTCTTGCATTCAATGCACTGCCACCGTAAGGCCTTTACATTTGTCGTCAATTCAGGACAAAATTTCAAACAGGATGGGTGTCCTACAAGAATAAAGTACGAATTAACTTATAGGAATTGGGCTTTAAATTTTTTAAAATTCCCATTCCATAATATTTAATAGATAGGTGATGATGTCAGCTAAAGAACCTAAGGGACTTGAAAATACAAAAAATCAAAGAACAGAATTGCAAATTTCCCTTACTGACTTTTTTTCCTTCTATAGGAAATTTATACCGGTTCCAATCACAAGTCTTTGCAAACTTGAAGATCATATATGCCCAGCCGGGGGTCTCACTCCTGGGCCTTCTGCTAAGTTTCCTGTATTGGGGCAGAGCGTGCAACAGCTAAACCTCAGCTTGTGGTGCTATTATCCTATATGGGTACTGGTTCATGTCCCTGCTGCACCTCTTCTGATCCAGCTCTCCGTTTATGACTTGGGAAAGCAGTGGAAGATGGCCAAATGCTTGGTCACCTGGCTTCAGATGGGCTCAGTTCTAGCCGTTGTGGCCATCTGGGAAGTGAACCATTGGTTGGAAGACCTTTCTCTCTGTCTCTTCCCTCTCTGTGTCTGTAACTCTGCCTCCCCCCCCCCCCCAAAAAAAAAAAAATTCTGTACCCGCTATTTTCTTTTTTTTTTTTTTCTTTTTTTTGACAGGTAGAGTGGACAGTGAGAGAGAGACAGAGAGAAAGGTCTTCCTTTTGCCGTTGGTTCACCCTCCAATGGCCGCCACGGCCGGTGCGCTGCGGCCGGCACACCGCGCTGATCCGAAGGCAGGAGCCAGGAGCCAGGTGCTTTTCCTGGTCTCCCATGGGGTGCAGGGCCCAAGCACCTGGGCCATCCTCCACTGCACTCCCGGGCCACAGCAGAGAGCTGGCCTGGAAGAGGGGCAACCGGGACAGAATCCGGCGCCCCAACCGGGACTAGAACCCGGTGTGCCGGCGCCGCTAGGCGGAGGATTAGCCTAGTGAGCCGCGGCGCCGGCCTGTACCCGCTATTTTCAACAATCACCATGCACTCAGGAGATTCCTGGTTTGCTGAACGGTGAATAGGGAGTGGGGTGCTACACAGTTCAAACATCTCCTGCACTCTGTGTATAATGAAATCGTAAAACTTAACACAACAGATGGCTAAAGAGAAAATTGAGGCTACTTAATATAATACAACTACAAATGACATCACTCCCTAGCCCCCAATCTCAAAAGAATACAAAGAATATCCCATTACTGGGATACAGAAAGAGGATTCCACTGACATCCTGCCCGTGGCTCCTTGAATTTAAATTCTGAAAATAGGAGAAGCAACAGTGAATTTAAAAGAAGCTGATAGGCCCAGGTCAAGTGGAATATGACAAGAAGCACCCTTGGTGCCGGCACTGTGCATAGTGGGTAAAGACACCACCTGCAGTGCTGGCATCCCATTTGGGCACTGGTTCAAGTCCCAGCCGCTCTACTTCCAATCCAGCTCTCTATTATGGCTTGGGAAAGCAGCAGAAGATGGCCCAGGTCCGTGGGCCCCTGCACCCATGTGGGAGACCCGGAAGAAGAAGCTCCTAGCTCCTGATCAGTCAAACTCTAGTTGCCGTAGCCATTTGGGGAATGAACCAGCAGATGGAAGATTTTTCTGTCTGTCTCCCTCTCTGTAACTCTACCTCTCAAATAAATAAATAAATCTTTTTTTTTAAAGCACCCTCATCAGGTTTCCCCTTTTCCTTCACATTGAGCTTATTTCTGCTTCTTGGGCACTTTTCATCTAGCAGTATTCCCCAAACCAAACTATTCCTTTTACAAAGGAAAGCTGGACAGCCTGAGCAGCAACGCCATGCAAAGGAGCCTGCCAGGCTCCCCTGAGTGAGAGGCTCCTTCACAAGGTAGGGGCAGCAGGCGCCCAGACTGAAGGGTGGCTCAATTTAAAATCTAACGTTCTTTTATCACATAACACCAAGAAGAGTTTCAAACTTGATTTTCTCTAAATCTCATCTTTAAATAGTAAGAACATTAGTAAATCCCATTGGAAAGAACATATAACCGAGCTGCAAAAGAAACCTGAGGGGTAATAAAAAAAGCAGATTCTGCAATTTCAAAACTGTTTTATAATTTCCTGACTTTGGCAGGCTCATTGTTTAAATATGTATTTTGGGTTGCTGCCAAAAAGGTCCTTCTTGCTAAAGCTTAACAGGTGCTTCATAAAATTCCACCCACCAGGAGATTTGGCTTTTTGAAGTAAAAACATTCAAAATCAATCATCAATACTGTTAATAAAAGCAAACTATTCCTGAGTTAAAAAAAAAAAAAAAACCTAAACATCTGTATCTAAGATGTTGAGAAAATAAAATGCTGTTGCAGGATTATGATCTAAGGCAGGAGAAACACCCAGGCAGATGCATTTAACCTCTGACCCCATTCTTTTACAAGGGCTTCTCTCAATCAGATGAATGTGAGGGAAAAGTTTAATATATAAAACTGGTATCAATCACCTCTTTCTCCTCAACAACAGCAAACTGACAGCTTGCCTGGGGATTTTAAGCAGCAGTACTCTACAGGGGGAAGGGAGGGGCCGACTTTGATGGGAGTTGCCTCCTCCAAAACTGAGGGCAAAAACTCAACTTTTAAAGAACGGCAATTTAAATTCCACCCTTAAAATGGGTCCCATCAGCTTAAAAGTACACCATTTATTTCTTTTTCCCCTACTTTTTTTTTATTACTTCCTGTAAGTCATACATCACTGGCACATATGACCTCAATTTCATGCATTGAATTTTTCTCCACATTAAAATCAGCTTTTGTACTTTGTAGCTTAATATTCAGTAACTAAGGTGATTCACATCATAGGATAGCCTAGTATTCATTCTCACAGATACTCCATGTAAGATGGAGTTCTTAATAATTATATGTTTTGAAAATTAATGGATTTCTGCCATTTTCAATCAGGAGCAAGAAATTGGTTTCCAAAGCATCTCTCAATTTAAGCAATATTATATCTTAATGGCTACAATTCAAGCTACCCTATCAAATTCCAAAATCTTCGGCCTACCTTTCCTTAAAGCGGCAATCTTACCTTTATGTAGCTCAAGCAAATTGGCCATACATACCTTTCAGCCCTAAATTTCCATGATTTTGTAACAGATACTGAGGAGCAAAGAAACACTCCTATTTTATTTTCTCCTGATAAATTTTAAAATAACACAAAAGACTGTAACTGAGTCTTGATATGATGTTACACAATCCATAGTAGTAACACACAGGAAAATATGGGTATATGATAACACAATTCCTTAACTTCCATTTAGCCATTCTAAAAACTCAATAATTTTTTCCAAAATTCCTGTTCTTTCTGATTACACAATTCATGGTTGTTTGTCTTTCTGGAACTTGTTTTACTTGTGGTTTGCAATTTATCAGATTAGAGTCATAATATGTATTCATTCACTCATTTATTCTTGCACAAACACAAATTAAGCATTTGCAGATTACAACAGTTTTATCTAACAAAATCAAAGGAATACTGCTTAAAATTAAAAAGTCTGGGACCACAAACTTTTCCACAAACCAGTGGAAATGATTTTTGGAAGAACTACTGTAGAAGAACAAAATATGGGCTTTATACCAGACAGAATAACGACCTACGAAGGTGTCTATGCTCTAATTCCTATAAACTGTAAACACATTACCTAATGTGGGAAAAGCAGCTTTGCAGATGGAACTCAGGGTACAAGACCTTGAGACAAAGACATTATCTTGGATTATTATTGACTAGGACCAGTCTAATCGCATGGGTCCTTAAATGCAGATGACATTTTTTACTAAATAACAGAAGGAGGAAGAGAGGTTCAAAGCACGAGAGTAAGACCCCACCTGTGGTTATAACCTATGAAGATGGAGGAGGGGGCTATAAGCCGAGGAGAGTGGGTGGTTTGTAAAGCTGGGAGCCACCTTCACTTGACAGTCCCACAAATATTAGGAACTACATTCTATCAATGTAGCAAACGAGTACGGATCCTCTCCCGGAGCCTCCAAATTCAAGAGGCCCAGTGCTGCTGATACTATTTTACCCAGGTTGGACTTCAACTGACAGCTATAAAATAATAAATGTGTTGTTTTAAGCCACAAATTTGTGATCATGTGTCACAGCAGCAAAGGAAAACTAATAAAGATGTAGATACTGGGCCCCTCTGACTAGTTATCCTGACCATCCATCAGTTTATCTGTCCTCTCTTCTAATATTTAATGAGCACTGGAGATACTGGAAGAAAAAGGATAGCCATGATCCCACACATTCAGATCATGGAGTCTAGAAGGAAATACAGATCTAAAGAATTAAAGTTAATGCATGATGATAGGGTGGCTCCCTTGAGAGAGACATGGTAGGTTAGAGGAAGACCTCCCTAAAGAGAACTAAAAGACTAGCAGATTAGATAGGACCAAAGGAGGGACAAGTTGGGAGAAGCCGGCACGGGCAGAGGGAGAAAAGAACACAGAAATTCCCAGGAGGGAGGAGTTGTTAAATAAAACTGATGTGCAGACAACAAAGGGTATTAGGAGTGTAGGGTAGGGTTGACAGAGCTCCAATGCAGACATGCACTTTGTGTTATATTAAAGAATTTAAGGGCTGGCATTGCAGCACAGCAGGTTTAAGCTACTGCTTGCAACACTGGCATGCCCCATCAGAGTGCTGATTTGAGTCTCAGCTACTCTGCTTCCAAACTAGCTTCCTGTTAATGCACCTGAGAAGGCAATAGACGATGGTCCAGATACTTGAGTCTTTGCCACCAATGTGGGAGATTTTGATGAAATTCCTGGATCCCAGCTTTGCTCTGGTCCAGATCTGAATGTGTGACCACTTGGAGAATAAACTACTGCAAGATCTCTCTCTCTCTCTTTCTGCCATTCAAATAAATAATCCTTTTAAGAAGAATCATTTAGAGTTTTTCCTACATCCAGTGAAAAATGCTGTAATCACATTTGTAATTTTAAAAGCTAACTTAGGTTGCAGTATAAAAAAACAGATGAAAGAAAAGAGGGTCAAGATTAGATTTAGGTTATT